TAATTCGAACAGGCTCGAGTTGAATTGAAGTTACTTAATTCGAGTTGATTTTGGGTTAAAAATCAGGTTGGGGTCAGATTACTTAATTCGGGTTGATAAAAAAGAGATAAGTGACAAGTGACAGAGGGAGGTTAAGAGTTTGAAACGAGACTTAAACGAGTAAGAGAGGGAGACTGAGAGTCTGAGACCAGATGAGAAACGAGTGACGAGTGAGAGAGGAATCTGAGAAATTCTAATTAAAGTGAAGACTTAAAGTAAAGTAACGAGTGAAGACTTAAAGTGAAGTGAAAGTCTGGACTCTTAAGAGTGAAGATAAATATTAACTCTAATTAAATATATTTATATACTTATGTATATTCGGGTTCAACCTGATTTTAATATTCGGGTTGAACCCGACAACTTGAGGCTTGCCTCAATCCGAGACTTGCCTGAATTCAATTCAAATTGGAGTTTTTTTGCCCAGATTTAATCTAAGTATTAAAAATTCTAACTCAATACCTGTTTTTTTTGGGTTGGGCTCGGGTTGGTTCACCTTAGTTGCACCCCTAACCATAAGGGGTTTATATGTTATTTTCAGACTGGGGGGTGGGGGTATGTGCAATCAAGATAAACTACGATAGGGTAAAATGAAGTTTTCCATAATTTTAACTTATATAAAATCTACTTGTTTGGTATCCATTGTATCTTAGCCAAAGTTTCTCTTTCACTTTAACAACCCTAAATAGTTCCATTTACTGCCGTTCTTTTACATACTGTAGATCAATGTTAGTACAAATTAAAGAGACATGGTATATATGCATAACCAAGACAAATTAAAGTTTCGATGAATTGCTATTTTTAAGTTAAGAGANAAATAACCTCCACACACATCAATTTTCTATTGAAACACCTCATTTCCTATTTTATTTACCATAAATCGAAATGGAAATCAAAAATCAAATTCAAAATAAAAACAAAAATCAAAATCACGATTTTTGAAATTTTAAAATGCTTTGTTATACTAAATTGCATAGTAGGTGTGTGAGGTTTACAAACCGATAAATTGGATGAAAAAGTTGACAATGCATTTGAGTTCAGCAACCACAAGTAAGAGTGCAATTCGCGTGGGTCGGGCATGTTGAGAGGTCAATCTTAGTTCAACCCTAGAAATATAATCTTCAACTCTAATCCTAATTCTAACCCTTATCCGACCTCAACTCAAGTATTGTCCAAGTTTAATTCGAACAGGCTCGAGTTGAATTGAAGTTACTTAATTCGAGTTGATTTTGGGTTAAAAATCAGGTTGGGGTCAGATTACTTAATTCGGGTTGATAAAAAAGAGATAAGTGACAAGTGACAGAGGGAGGTTAAGAGTTTGAAACGAGACTTAAACGAGTAAGAGAGGGAGACTGAGAGTCTGAGACCAGATGAGAAACGAGTGACGAGTGAGAGAGGAATCTGAGAAATTCTAATTAAAGTGAAGACTTAAAGTAAAGTAACGAGTGAAGACTTAAAGTGAAGTGAAAGTCTGGACTCTTAAGAGTGAAGATAAATATTAACTCTAATTAAATATATTTATATACTTATGTATATTCGGGTTCAACCTGATTTTAATATTCGGGTTGAACCCGACAACTTGAGGCTTGCCTCAATCCGAGACTTGCCTGAATTCAATTCAAATTGGAGTTTTTTTGCCCAGATTTAATCTAAGTATTAAAAATTCTAACTCAATACCTGTTTTTTTTGGGTTGGGCTCGGGTTGGTTCACCTTAGTTGCACCCCTAACCATAAGGGGTTTATATGTTATTTTCAGACTGGGGGGTGGGGGTATGTGCAATCAAGATAAACTACGATAGGGTAAAATGAAGTTTTCCATAATTTTAACTTATATAAAATCTACTTGTTTGGTATCCATTGTATCTTAGCCAAAGTTTCTCTTTCACTTTAACAACCCTAAATAGTTCCATTTACTGCCGTTCTTTTACATACTGTAGATCAATGTTAGTACAAATTAAAGAGACATGGTATATATGCATAACCAAGACAAATTAAAGTTTCGATGAATTGCTATTTTTAAGTTAAGAGACTCCCAATATATGTTATGATTCTATCGATATACACAATTTACAAGTAATTATAAATATTTTAAATTTAAGTTACAGTCGTAAATCCAAAAAAAAATTGAGTTATGATGATTCTCAGGTATAAAAAAATCATTATTTGCAAGGTCAAAGTGAAAAATGAAGTCCAAGATTTCGTTATGTTGTAATAACCACACCCCATGTACTTTATAGTCTATGGGATACTCATCAGCTATCACTAGACTTTGTAGAACAATAAACTTATATATATACTAGCCATAACTCATGCTTGAAGATACAATAAAATATAAAATTCAAGCGTTCAAAAAATCGATCCCACTATATTAATTTTTTTTTAAATATATTAACTACAAATTAATTAAATATTAAATATATGATAAAAATGTGTGATGCGATATTTTTAGGGAGAAAATATATAAATGATTAAACATGTGATAGAAATGAGTAATGTGATTTTACGTTTGAGTTTGACAAAGAGATGATTAGTGAGGTAAGCGATTGATGATGCTTTTAAGAAAAAAAATATGATTGAGATAAAATTCAAACACACTCTTGTTTTCCTGCGTTATTATATAGATGTGTAAACTTTTTGTGGACATAGGTTAGAGAAACATAGAATATTCCTAGGAATATGGCCACGCTTGTCTTGTTCATTAATTATATGATGTTTCATGGCCTACACTCATTAGTATTAAAGTGTATCACTGCCAAAATTTATTGGAAAGTATATCCGAGTTTTATTTAATTTTATTCAATAATAAATTACTTCTCGCATATGAGTGAATGACTTATTAGTAGGTTCTATTTGAGATTGAGCATACCGAGTATTTTATTTATATAATATATAATTATGTGATGTCTTTATATTAAAGTTTTTCGTTTTTCTAGAAATCTAAATATTGTAACTCAATAATTGCAAGAATACAAAAGAGATTTAATTTGAATCTTTTCTTTCCATAAATAAAATCCAAGAGATTTGTGTAAAATAATTTCAAGAATGTACATTTAGGGATAATATTAATTCTACTTTTCTTTTTCTAAAAAAGAATATTTTAAAAAGTTGGCCACTTACCATATTCAATTTAGACTTGAGGCTTTAATTCAGATCAGCTTGCATTGTGCATTTGAATAAGTTTGTTCAAATTTTAGCAACCCTTTGGAGTATTTCAAGTGGTAATAAAAACGAAATATAAATTCAGACGTCCTGAGTTTCAATTTTACCAACCCCTCAAGGATCAAGCCATGAGATGCGTATAAGGATGATCCGCACCCTTGACCATTAAAACAAAAAAGAAAAAATAAGTTATGATACTAAAAAAATCTTTTTACTTCATCCCTAAAATCATCTTTTTTATTTATGTGTTTTATTCACGAAAATGATAAGGCACAATGAATTATTTTGAAACTTTCAAGACATTAAAAAAAGAAAAAAGAAATGAGATGAGCAAAGAAATCAAAATTCAAATTGAAAATTCAATGAATTTCATTTTTGAAGTCTAAACCAATTTCCACTTCTACCCTTTGTGTAACAAACAATACCACCTCTATCCCTAGATTCCTTTCCAATATGCTAAAGCAATGGTACCTATAGAAAAAATAATTAAATAATAGTATTAAGATTTAATTTATTAAACTAATTTATTATAATTATTGGGTTGATTGTGAATTTCATCAAATATTAATATTCGGTATTAATCCACCAATTACAAAGAAATTATATCATTAGATCAATAAATTAAATCAAATTTTTATATTCCAATAACATAACATTACTCAAAATAATTTGAGTTATTGATTTTAATTTGAATAATTTATTATTATTAATATATAAAATTATAAAAAATAATTTTATAGGTAATCAAATTCTTCCAACTGACACTTAGCAAGCTGACAACACACCAACAGTAAGTAATAAACCCCAACGGTAAAAATAAGGTACAGCCAAAGGTGGTGAAATCTAGGTGTCTAGGGGGTGAGAAAATCTGTCAGAAAAATTGCATTGATTTCATAGTTTTTGGTGTCTTTCTCTCTCCAGCTGGAATTGGCTGGACGTGGAACTGTTGTCTCCATCCCACATGCCTTACTCAGTAATCACCTCTCTCCCAACAACTCTCACAGGAGATTCCAAAGCCCTTCACTTTTCCCAATTTCTTCTTTCATTAAAATATTTTCCCACCCATTTTCTTGCGCTTTCTTTAGTTTTCTTACCCACCTTTTTTGTGCTATAAATGAGTGCCTCCACAACTCCTCAAACCTCTTCTCTTCTCCTTCTCTTCTGCCCCCTATAGATTTTGGGCTTCCCAGCTACTGTTATTCTGCTTCTCTCTCTTTCAGATCTTGTTTTTAGATCTAAAGCTGTGTCTTTCCCTTGCGTCTCTCTGCTTTTCTTGTGTAGATCTTGGATTTCTGTGGGGATTCTTCTCTTTTTAATCTCTGATTTTTGGGTTTTGGGCAAAAAACCAGAAACCCATTTGATTACTCTGGTGAGATCTCAAGCTTAACAACAAAATTTTCAACATTTTTTGTTGTTGAGATCTGTGGCTTTTCCTCTGCAAATGAAACTGTCCCTCTGTCTCTCTCTAAATCTGAAGGCCGTCATGTCTTGTTCTTGATTTTTGAGTTTCATGTCTCCAGTTCTCAGTGAAATCCTCCGTTCTGGGTTTATGATAAATTCCTCACTCAGACGCAGGACCCATCTTGTTCAATCTTTCTCTGTTGTGTTCCTCTACTGGTTCTATGTTTTTTCATGAACAACTTTTCATTCTACCTTGATCTATATATGTAATATTAGCCTAAATATATCTACTTCAATCCCAAATTAAAAATATAATTTGGGTCCTGCGTCTTCTTGGTTTTTAAGGCTATTTCGATCCAAGAGTACTAGTATTTTTCAGGTTTTTTTATAAGCTCTTTGATATTATGGCTTCTTCTAGTGGGAATTCTTCAGGGTCTACTCAGCTTCAGAACTCTGGTTCTGAAGAGGACTTGCAGGTTATGATGGATCAAAGGAAAAGGAAGAGGATGCAATCGAATCGCGAATCGGCAAGGCGATCCAGGATGAAAAAACAGAAGCACCTTGATGATCTGATGGCCCAAGTGACTCAGATAAGGAATGAAAATAACCATATCCTCACAAGCATGAACGTCACCACACAGCACTACCTGCATGTTGAGGCTGAGAACTCTGTTTTGAGAGCTCAGATGATGGAACTGAGTCAGAGATTACAATCTCTCAATGATATACTCAGTGTCATGAACACAAACAATGGGGTGTTTGAGACTGATGATGATCTTCAGGCAAATCCTGACACTTTCATGAACAATCCATGGAACTTGATGTATCTAAACCAACCCATCATGGCCTCTGCTGATATGTTTTAGTACTAATCATTATCATCATCATCATCTTCAAGTGGGCTCAAACTGGTCAATATTTTGTTGTCTTGTTGTTTTTTGTGGTGGTGTTTGTTCATGGGGTTCAATGAGTGGAGAGGGGAAAAAATAATAATTGTCTTATTATATTACTGTTTAGTTCTATTAGCATCTAAGGGAAAGTAATATGACTGAGGATAAGGAAATTGTAACCAGTCAAAAGTTACATGGGGACTCTTAATGTGCATATTGGTCAGTATTGATATTTTAGATATGATTCAAAACTGCTGTGGTGGTGTTAATGTTTTTTATCCTCCCTGGCTGCTTATTCTGTTTGTGTAAATCTTTGGTGAAAATTGAAGAGATTAATTGGTATATTTTGATCTTCAGAATGTATTTAGTGATTCACATAAAAGCAAACACACACACACACACATATGTACATATATGTATATATGTGTGTGTGTGTGTGTGTTGTAAGTGATGGAAGTTGTTTCTTTTTGAAGGAATTTTTTTTTGGTTACTATTTGAAACTGTTAGGAGGAAAGGGCTGGTGAGGTTTGAATCACGACCTAACAGTCCAACTGCGGGCGGCTATTAGGCCAGCCGCTTATCCTCCTTTTTGAAGGATTAATTTTTGTAAAGTTTGATCAACTGTGCTAGTGTGGGAAACATGTTTATTATTTGTTTTATATTGGGTACAAGAATTGTGTAGCCTCTTGCACTTGTGCTGAGTACCTGCTCTCTGTTTTACCATGGTGATAAAGAGAAATCAGAACAGCTTAAACATAAATAACTATGAACAGAACATAGGCCTTTCCCTGCACTGAGTTCCATTTCATCCATGAATTGTTTAAAAAAAAATCATTTTGCATAATTTCCAGTGATGAGGGTTATATGTTGGAAACTTAAGACTAGGATCCATTAAATTTGATGTATGATCAAAAGATGCAATCCAAAGTTTACCAAAAATGACATATTTTAATCCGCACGGGTAGTACAGGGATGTAGAATTAGACCCGGACAAGTTGTAGACGCGAACGTTAGGAGTTCAACTCTCATTGGTGTCTCTTGGGTGTACCTGATACGTGTGATTTGCTGTCATGTATCAGTTATAAGTTTTAGGGATGCTACAAGCTTTAGGGTTCAAATTATAATTTTTTAGGGGTTGAGTTATAATTTTGGAGGTTATTCAAAATCGATTCTTTTAGTATCACTCGCAAAAAAACCCCCAAAAATTGTAAATTACTCCAAAAAAGTTGTATAACCTAAACAATACAATACAGAGGTTTATCCTGAGGTGTGGCTCTTAGGAGCAATATACCAAAATGATCATCTTCATGCAATATATAAGGTTAATAGCAGGTTTGGTTGTTAAAGTATGTATTTTTTGTCAGTTTAGTCTTCATTATATCAATTTGGTCCCTAAAATATTCAATCGTGTCACTTTGATTCCTNTGTAAGTGATGGAAGTTGTTTCTTTTTGAAGGAATTTTTTTTTGGTTACTATTTGAAACTGTTAGGAGGAAAGGGCTGGTGAGGTTTGAATCACGACCTAACAGTCCAACTGCGGGCGGCTATTAGGCCAGCCGCTTATCCTCCTTTTTGAAGGATTAATTTTTGTAAAGTTTGATCAACTGTGCTAGTGTGGGAAACATGTTTATTATTTGTTTTATATTGGGTACAAGAATTGTGTAGCCTCTTGCACTTGTGCTGAGTACCTGCTCTCTGTTTTACCATGGTGATAAAGAGAAATCAGAACAGCTTAAACATAAATAACTATGAACAGAACATAGGCCTTTCCCTGCACTGAGTTCCATTTCATCCATGAATTGTTTAAAAAAAAATCATTTTGCATAATTTCCAGTGATGAGGGTTATATGTTGGAAACTTAAGACTAGGATCCATTAAATTTGATGTATGATCAAAAGATGCAATCCAAAGTTTACCAAAAATGACATATTTTAATCCGCACGGGTAGTACAGGGATGTAGAATTAGACCCGGACAAGTTGTAGACGCGAACGTTAGGAGTTCAACTCTCATTGGTGTCTCTTGGGTGTACCTGATACGTGTGATTTGCTGTCATGTATCAGTTATAAGTTTTAGGGATGCTACAAGCTTTAGGGTTCAAATTATAATTTTTTAGGGGTTGAGTTATAATTTTGGAGGTTATTCAAAATCGATTCTTTTAGTATCACTCGCAAAAAAACCCCCAAAAATTGTAAATTACTCCAAAAAAGTTGTATAACCTAAACAATACAATACAGAGGTTTATCCTGAGGTGTGGCTCTTAGGAGCAATATACCAAAATGATCATCTTCATGCAATATATAAGGTTAATAGCAGGTTTGGTTGTTAAAGTATGTATTTTTTGTCAGTTTAGTCTTCATTATATCAATTTGGTCCCTAAAATATTCAATCGTGTCACTTTGATTCCTAATCAAATAATCCGTTAAATTTTTTTACGGAAGTGACCACCTGTAATTTTTTTAGATGGTATCATGTGTTCAACACATGATTACTCCATTAAAAACTTAACGATTCGTCATGTAGGGACCAAAATGACGCGAATTGAATACTTTTGAAACTAAATTGACAAAATTGAGACAATGAAGACAAAAATGATAAAAAAATATATATTTTAGGGATTACAAATGTTATCAAAATAATTTGAGGCCTAAAGCGGTAATACAAAATGAGATTTTTTTATTTTTAGTATTATTTTTAAAAAACAAAGAATATTTTTAATTTTTTTTTAAGTGAGAGAGGATGATGTGATACTTTGTTTTTATTTTTTAAGAGAGAGAGAATAGATGTGAGTAAATATGAATTGACTTTTGAATTTTTTGTATTTGCTTTTTAAATTTTTTATTTTTGAATTTCTAATGTTATCAATTAAATTGTAGACCCAATTTATTGAAATTATAATTTTTTGATTGGACTTAAATTTTTTAGGCCTTTTTATAAGGTCTAAAATTTTCATGAATTTAAATTTTTTATATGAACTAATTATGTATTTAAAATTATAGAGCTTTTTAAAAATTTGAAACCTAAAATCCACGTATATTTTTTTAATACTGTTGTGCCGGCCTGTATATATTAAGGGCATGACTATCTGAAGTAAAGGTCAGCAATCAATGAATGAACAAAGGAGGAACACACCGACAATAATGAGTATTAAACAACTGCAGAAAGTATACCAGGATGAAGAACTACGTAAGAACAATGTTGCCTTCCTGCTGTTTGTGGGCTGGCCCCATGTGATATTGTGTTTTGCTCACTAAGAATGCTGCTTATAATGCATTTAGTACTAGTGGGAAATATATATATATATATATATATATATATATATATATATATATATATATTCTGCATTAAAGAAGACCAATAGTGGGAGAGTGCAAGAGTCTAGAAAGATTAGGCGGGTATTCTAAGATAACTTAGTTGGCAAAACTAACATTACTACAGCTGAAAACTTTGATCCTTTTACGTTAAAGGCTTAAAAAAGGTAAGATTATTGTAAAACAAAGATTTGCGAAATGGTCAGATGTTCGATTCATGCAAATAAATTATTTTTTACGACTCAAACTTTTGACGCTCGGTTGATTAATTAGTGGAGCAGCACAAATGGGTGGTTAGCTTGACTTTCTAGTTACACAATGAGCACTTATATCTATCCATTTTGTTTGTTCTTTGTTTCATATCTTCCTTCCACTCATATAAACAAGAGAAATGCTCCCGTTGTAAGACTACTATTATCTTCTAGGATGCTTTCGCATATTTTATAAAATTCTATTTTGTCGATAATAATAAAGAAAATTCTTATGTTTTTTTTTTTGGTCGTGCAAAAAGCTTTTATCATGAGTCAAAATTGCATTCAACAGTAAGTGGCAAGAATGTTCCTTGGAATAGAAAATAATGGTTATAACATCATACATATATGTGTGTGTGTGTGTGAGAGAGAGAGAAATTGTCTAGTCTACTGTCTAATCTAATACATTTACTGTCTACCAAATACCAAACTATGGAAGAAAAGGATGATGAAATCATGTGTCATGCCTTTCCATGTATAGGTCTTGATTGCATGTTAGAAAGAGTGTTAGGAAAATTAATATTCTGTATAAAGAGATGATGAAAGCATTAAGCATGTGGACAACCATTAATATAAAGGCTGGCCATTGCAATAAGAAAATGTTGTCGTTTTCTAGATCTTAGTTTAGTGGGGAGTTAGTAGTTTCCAATGGCTCCATGATGCAACTAAAAGTATTAGTTGTAGCCTAATACTCACAAGAAAAGGTATTAGAATATGAAATGCTACAATGCCACTTAATTAAGCAAGTTGGTCACAACAATAAACAAGCAAAAACGCACACGCGCGCGCGCACACACATATATTTACATATATACATATAATGGTGCCCGTCAAAAATGACAACTACCACCAGAGGTAGAGGGAAGAAGGGAACGCGATTCACAAAGTTCACAAAACTAACTAAATCCAAGTACGTATCAGCCATTGATGATCGATTATGTCAACATTATTGTAACACAATTGGTTAAATGTCACTTCACTCTTAATATTGTAAATGATGGGACTTTTCTGAAATGTTTCATGATGAAGACACGTGTCCTCAGTATTACCAAAACACTGTTGTTAAGATCAAGCACCATCGGCGCATAAAGGTCCTCGCCCCCGAGGTACTCGTCATACATATAGGATCATGGCATTCAGTACGTTTTACAACCAACACGTAGCCTCGGTCTGATATGGTGCCTCGGTCGGTATCCCCCCTCGGTTCCAAGATGAGCCTTTCCTCGGTGCCGAGGTGTACCCCTTCCTGGATGCCTCCTCTACTCCAGGATAAGCTATTGACGTACAGGTCATTAGCCTAGGCTAGTCATCATGACCTCGTCTTACACAATTAGTGTCAGAACGTACTGGAATGCAGGGTCCACAGCCAATGGGGGATGAACGCGTGGCATATGATATCACATCGAAGACAGAGA